TTATCTATCAAATTTAATCCCCATTCTTCTGATTGTTACTTATTTTATTTGAAATAATTTATAAAATAATAATAATTATTATTTTAATTTCATCATTTTTTAATTTTTTTTACTCATCAGATCTAATCTCTATTATTTTTATTATTATTTATTTTATTTAAAATAATTTATAAAATTATATTTTTTTTCAATTTCATTCTCATTCAACCTTCTGATTTGTAAGATTTATTTCTTATTATTTTAATAAACTTGAAAAAATAAAATATTAATAAATTATTTTTTAGCTCATTCTTCATGACACAACCAAATACTGGAAAATATTTTTTTAATTTATTTTTGAAAAAATAAAATATTAATAAATTATTTTTTAGCTCATTTTTCATGACACAACCAAATACTGGAAAATATTTTTTTAATTTATTTTTGAAAAAATAAAATATTAATAAATTATTTTTTAGCTCATTTTTCATGACACAACCAAATACTGGAAAATATTTTTTTAATTTATTTTTGAAAAAATAAAATATTAATAAATTATTTTTTAGCTCATTTTTCATGACACAACCAAATACTGGAAAATATTTTTTTAATTTATTTTTGAAAAAATAAAATATTAATAAATTATTTTTTAGCTCATTTTTCATGACACAACCAAATACTGGAAAATATTTTTTTAATTTATTTTTGAAAAAATAAAATATTAATAAATTATTTTTTAGCTCATTTTTCATGACACAACCAAATACTGGAATATATTTATTTATGGTTTAAAACTAAAATAAATTGAAAGGACTAACTAATAAGTTTTTGAAACAAAAGGAACTAATTAATTCATTTCTCAAGATTAGATGAATTGTTTTGTAATTCACTCAAAATGGATGGATGCATACACTACATCGACAATAATAATGCATACTGCAACTTCTATACAACCACTTTTTTTATGAGCAAAACGTTAGCTTTCAAGTTTGCCAAGCATAAAGATTTTCATGATTGCTTATAGTTTTTATTTTTAAAATTTATCAAAAAATGAATTGAATTTTTTAAATAATTTTTGATAATTTTTATATATTAATATTAAAAAAATTAAAAACTATTTTAATATATTTATAATTTTTTTTAAAAAAAAAGACACCATATTGTATATTATCAAATGCGCAGAGGGTATCTACCTCAATTAAGAAACTGTAGAACAAAATGTTGAAGAGATGATTGGATCGTGGGTCGCAAAGTAGTCCAGCTATTAGCCTCTAATTCTTTTAAACTGGATTGACTACGGGATGCACTCCACTATTCTAGTGCTGTTTTTGCTGTTTTGATTCCAAGTTAACTGTTTTTTTTAGTTGTTTTTAAAGTATTTATTATTTTAAAATATTTTTTTATTTCAAAAATTTATTTTTAATATCAACATATTAAAATTATATAAGAACATTAAAAATATATTAATTTAAAATAAAAAATAAAAAATATTTTAATTTTTTAAAAAATATTTTTATAACGCTGAAACCAACAGTTAACAAATAAATTTAGCTTGCAAAACAAACTTTGCAATTTGCCTAGGGAAGTTGAGAGACGAGTTGCAAGGATTAATTATTAACAACCTCTAATCACTTTGATCTAAACTATCTACCTTTCAGGTATAATTGCAGTCGAAATTCAATATTTGTACTGTTAAATTGTGGTTCAAGCAACATGCAGACGTTGAAGGTAAGAAAACAAAGCTCTAATCATTAATGGAATTGCAAGAAAACTTACTTATTGATGAGAAGCTAGGTATATCAACTGGAACCTTCTCTTATATGTTCTTCAGCGAAGTTCAGAGCAATGGAATGGTTTGGCGCTTGTTATTATTAGCGTTGTTTGAAATTGTATATAAAAAAATTAAAATTTTTTAATTTTTTTAAAAATTTTTTGGATTATTTTAGTGTACTAATATCAAAAAAAATTTAAAATTTTTTAAAAATAATATTTTAATATATTTTTCATGCACCTCTATGACTACTTTGAATGCAAAAAATTAGCTTAAAAATTTATTATTGAGGAATTTACATTAATTTGATGATTATTGATTTGATTACAGCCATGCATGAGAATTCCTTAACACAGAAACATGAATGGGTGTATTTTTGGTAATTTATGATTTTTTTTTCACAATGAAAACTCCAAACCTACTGGATTACAGAGAAAATTGCAAGTTTACAATTGCAGCCCCACTAATCATCACCTACGAATTACCAACCTACAAGATATTTACCTACTAGTTATATGCTTGTGGGGTTACTAGCGTACTGATAGATAGGGTTTTGAAAATCATACAAGTTTAATTCAATTGTAAAATAATTGTTATTGATCTGTTGTTAGTATTGATGATGTCTTGCTCCTCTTTCTCCCTTGTGTTATATAGAAAAAACACAGACAATCATCTACCAACCGCACATATTCTTTTTTATTCTATCATTCCAATCATGCACCACTGAAACTACCCATCTTCGTTACCTTGCAAGCTTAAAGTGCTCATTTTCTTTTACAAGTCTAGCTACGGCCAAGCCTGTCTTCTTCTTTTTTATCTGTTTATCCAAACTTCATGACCCTCTAATTTTCACGTGTATAAGTGTATAAAAAAACACAGATCAAATCTACATATAAAAAAAATTAAAAAAATAAAGGTCAAAGTTGATATAAAAATAAATTATATAACAATTAAAAAATTAAACATCAAATTTATCCTTTAATGTACCTTTTTATTTATTTTTGCTCTTAAGAGCAGTACAATTAATTTACCGTGAAAAAAAAGAGAGAGAGAAAAGAAATGCTTCCCACAGCCCATCCAAATAGTTTTGGTTAGAAGGGCGAAATAATAACTTAATCGTCGCTATTACAAACAGGCACGTGTCTGTAGCTAAAGTAATATGGCATTGTTAAAATCCCCCTTCCGGTTTAGTTTTTTCTTTATATTCTTAAAAAACATGAAAGGCTTTTCGGTTCTGTCCTCTTCGATCCACGATAAATCCGCATGTAAAATGGTTCGAAGTTTTGGGGAAGCGAAAATAATTTTTTTCCCTCGAGTTTTTGTTTGTCTGTGAGATTTTCGGTGACGCGGAATAGGCAATGCTCGAAGACACATCAAACTGCCTAAAGATATATTTAATAACCAAACGTGTGATAATTTCCTTTTCAACTTCCAGCTACACCAAATTGACTATACATCCATGCCTGTCAGAAAATTATACTCTCGAGAGGTGGAGGTTCAATGTTACTCGACGTCAAGAGATATATAATAACCAAACATGTGATAATTTTCTTCTTATTTTCTTCTTTAAATTATTTTTGAATAGGGGTCAGTATGGAAAATAATTTTAAAAAATAAAATATATATTATTTTTATGAATTTTTAAATAAAAAATATTTTAAAAAA